TGTGCTGCTATAACAAAACACCTGACTGGATGCTTTATAAGGAGAAGAAGTTTATTTTGGCTCACAGCTTTGGAGGCTGAAATGTCCACACTTGGGCAGCCACAGGTGGTGAGGGCCTCATAACATAGCATCCCATACAGGTGGGGAACACATGAAACAGGTCACATACATGGAGTGGCCTTGCTCATTAACGACCTGCTCTTGCAGTAACTAATCCAGTCCTTGAAAACTATCCTACTCCCTTGCCATGGACACTAATCTCTTCCAAGGATAACACCCACACAACCTAACTACCTCCCACTAGGCCCCGCCTTTTAGGGGTTTCACCATTTCTTAGTACTGTTTACATTAAGGACCAAACTTCCAGCACAGGAACTTTTAGGGATAAACCATATTACAGCATACAGGGGTATAACAGTTATGACCATCATATCTCACTCAATCCACAGTCTTTGTAACAGCCAGAGCTGAGTTACCTACATCCAACAGCTGGATAAATAGCCAATGTGTCTGGCTGGCTTATATCTGGCAGAATTATTTCCTGCTCTGGGAGTCTTGGGTGCTTGCCCAAGTTCTAAGTGTGGGTCTAACTTCCCAAAAGCCTAAGATAACAGAGACATCAATCCCTTGCATACAAGACTCCTGCACCCCACCTTCACTGCTGACCAAGAAAGGTTGAGAGACTAGCACTAGCACTCTGCTCCAAGGAGCTTCAAAAACTCTGTTCAAGTCAGGTGTGGTGGTACGTGCCTATAATCCCAGCACTAGGGAGGCAAAGGCAGAAGGATCATGAGTTCAAAGTCAATCTAGGCATAGTAAGAGCCTGTCTCAAGAAGAGAGAGAGAGAGAAAAATTAAAAAGACAAGGAAAAAAAAAGTCCCCTGTTCCTAATTCACAACCAAAAGCTTGTAGGAACATATTGCTACCATCCAGACCCTCATGACCTTTTCCCTGCCCTGCACCACAACCCACACAGTGATGAGTTCTTTGGTGTGGGTTAGTAGGCTGAGGGCAGTGGCCTTGAGATAGCATCAGCTCACGTTATCCAGCTAGGGTGTTACCAGCATGCAACTGGATCCTCTCCATTGTGCTGCTTTACAAGGTTCTGTGAGCGACACTGGGTGTTTTGTAAGCAGATACCCATAGCTAATTATATATATATACACTTTTAATTAGAGAGGTAAATTAACAAGATGGCCCAAAAAGCTTCCCCGCTGACAAGGGTTTTGTGAAGAAAGCACTACTGGATTTGGGTGCCCTGCATCATTCCGTTGGGATTGCACAGGTAGTTTTTACGGCTGTTGTATTGGGATGTAGGGTTTTATTTTTCTCTGATCACACCCATGAAAGGGAATTGTTATGTCTTACCATCCTAAGCTTGAGCAATAGGAGCGTTCACCATCCGATGAGATATTGCAGCACACACAGCCAGTGTTACTACTCATCAGGACAGTGCTCACTTCTGTGAAATTCAATGTGCACCCAATACAACGCAAATATAATTAGCTAAAAGCCTTTCATTAAGAAGAACGAAGAAAAAGAAAATTCATGAGAGGTTAAAAGGCATATTTTTGTGCTACCTAATTTGGTTTCACTGTCCTCAAACTAGATTATTTTTCTAGTTTTCTTAAAACTTGCAAGTGTGTGAAATCAAGAAATTTCACATTGCAGGCTGGTTAAAATCACCAGAAAGAAAAAGGCAAATCCGGCAGAGTACTGGGGAACTCAGGACCTCACACTTTCTAGGCAGTTGCTCTACCACTTGGGCCACTGGTCTTTGTCTTTTTTTGCTTTTAGTTATTTTTTGGATAGGATCTCACTTTTTAAATTTTGTTTGTTCTGGGTTCTCTCTCTTTCTCTCTTTCTCTCTCTCTCTCTGTCTCTCTCTTTCTCAGGGGCTTGCACCTTTCTCTCTCAGAGCTCAGGGGCTTGCACCTTGGTAGGCAAGCACTCAACCACTTGAGCCATACCTCTAGCCTATTTTGTTTTTAGGCTATTTTTCAGATAGGGTCTCACTTTTTACCTGGGTTGGCCTCTGACCATGATCCTCCTGTCTATGGCCTCCCTTATAGCTGGGATGACAGGAGCACACCACCACACTCACTTTGTTTATTGAGATGGGATCTCACTATCTTTTTGCCCTAACTGGCCTTGAACTGCAATCCTCCCAATCTCAGCCTCCTAAGTAGCTGAGATTCCATTCCTGAGCCACCTCGCTCAGCCCCAAAAGGCAAATCTTGAGGACAAAGCAGAGAAGGAATCTCCTGGAGGCTTGAATGCTGTCCTTGTACCCCAGACCTGCCTGACTGTCACATAGGGATGTAGCTTGTTCTCGGAGATGGGCTACTGACATACCATACTTTAGCTCCCCCCAAACAAGAACAGAGCTTGTCCTCTAAAAGGAATTCTGAGAATGGTTTCATGTGCACTGTCCCCTCCTCCCGCAACGCACACATAAAGAAATGTGCCATAGCCTGGTGGGGGAACTGGCACAAATGCTCCCTAGGACTGAACACAAAGGAATGTGCAGCACACCTGCAGGATGGATGATGTTTTCAAATGTCACTGTCATTTCTTTTCCACATTCTCCGGTACCAGACCCTCTCATTCTTCCCTGAATGTGTATTTATCTCAGGAAGTGTTGCAATTGAGATTTAAGTGATATGCAAAGAAAAAGGCAAAATACTTTCTGTTCAGCCCTTTACTCCCAAATGTGGATTTAAAATTTCATGACAATCACTGTGGAAAGTGGGATTCCTTGTGTGAGAAAGAATTTTGTAAGTTTCTAGACTCCCTTTTCAGATAACAAGGGCTCAACCTGAGACACGGAAATGCATCAACTCCCAAGGACAGGGGTTTTGTTTCATTCTAGATTGCCCTGGAAAGGGGTCTTGCCCTAGCAGTTGCTTGTTATTGTCTGGGTGAAGGAGAAAAGTGGTATATTTCAGTGTGGAAGGCAGGTGCTAAGACAGGCGGGAATTTCCCTCTCAGGACCCAGGGAATGTAGAAAGCCTTCCTCCTCCATAGCAGAGAGCAAGAAAAGGCAGGGTCCTCACTCCTCAGGGGAGAGGCACAGGTTTCCAGCAGGGCTTGCTCCTCATTCCTCTGAACCAAGCATCCCTGTTCCTGCACAGTCAGCAGTGCTGTCCCCCATGTGGGCAGGGACCTGCAGGGGGTGGGGGAACAGGGGCCAGCTGCTGCAGTCCCATGGTGTGGAAGTCAGGGAATGCAACTGAGAGCCCCTTGCTGTTCTCTTGCCCCAGGGCTGGGGAGGTCCTGCAGAAACTAACTGGATCTGAGACCAAGGTGATGTGGCAAAGGAAAAGTTTAAAAGCTTGAGATGCCACCACAGGTGGCAGTTCCCATGCCCCCTCCCAGCAACAAGCTCTGAACTCCTGACCCCCTTGAAACTGGGCACTGGAGGAGGCACATGTACCTGGTCAGAGGCTGGGTCTGTCCTCACCTGTATGAGACTTGCCATGAAGCAGGTTATTTTTTTTTTTTTTTTTTTTGCTGGGGCTGGGGGCGGGGAGAGGGGAAGAAAGAGGTACTGGGGTTTGAATTCAGGGCCTCATACTGTTAATCCTGTTTGTGTCACCAAACCCTTTGGCATCCATGTAAAATCCAAACACCCTTTCTCAAAGCACAGATTTAAATCCATAAAATAAAAGACTAGAAGTATAAATGAGACCAAGCTTTCTGCAATGGAAGTCAAGATCATTGTAAATATCTGTCCCGTGAGGCAAGTGTTTCCTAATAAATAGCAGGATCTACTGGCAGGCCAACATTATAATTTCAAAGTAATGGTAAGCCTAAATTATATTTGGAGATATCTCCAACAGCTTACAGTGATATAAAAATATCTGTGACTTCCGCTAGGATAAAAATCACACTTTCTTTCCTATATTCATAATTGAGGGAAATGCTAAATTTCAGTTAAAGGCTAGGAAAAATGAAGATGCAATGTTTTCCCTGTCACCATTCACAGACCCACAAAATTCCACCCACATCTCTGTAAGTTGCAGAGCTCCCAGAATAAGAATTCCACACGCTCAGCTGGGTGCTGGTGGTACATGCATGTAATCCTAGCTACTTGGGAAGCTGAGATCATGATCAAGGTTCCAGGCCAGCCCAGGCAAACAGTTCGCAAGACCCTATCTCCAAAATAACCAGAGCAAAATAGACTGGATGGGTGATTCAAGCCATAGAGCGCCTGCTTTGTAAACATGAAGCCCTGAGTTCAAACCCCAGTCCCATGGGGCCCACACTCTAAGGCCTCATGACTGAATTTCAAAGCACCCTCTGAACTCTGGTGATGACTTTCAAAGCAGCCAAATCTATCTGCCCTCCCTAAAGGCAGGTCACAGTGGGAAAAGCTGGTGAGAGAGTGAGCAGCTGGCTCCACTGGGGCCATTCAGCAGTATGGGCTCAGGACCTCTGTATGCCAACCAGGTCCAGAGTAAAGATTCCTGGGGCCCAGCCTGGAGCTACTGATTCAAATGTCCAGTGTTCATCTTGGGAATTTGCATTTTAAGCAGAAGTCCCGCTGGCAACTTACAAAACATCCTGGAACTTCCCTGGTGCCTTGTCCCAGTCAGGGGCTCTACAATCTGGGAAGGAGCCCTGGGATGCAGCTCACACCATTCCTGGCTGCAATGAAAGTGGTGTCATTGCCAAGAGCTGAGCCTGTGGCCCCTCCAGGGCCCCTCATGTATAAGTGATGCCTGAAACGTGAGACACCACAGCCCTGACAGAGAAACCTGAGCAGAGGAGTGTGTGGCCGGATTGATGGGCTGGGAACTCACCACCTCCTTCCCCACCAGTCTCCCAAACTTCACCCTTCTCCAAATTCAGTCTCAAATCAAGGAGCCCTGGCTGCTGTCAAGATCCAAGAAAGGAGGTCAGCCACCATGAGGACAGGAAAGCACTTCAGGCTGGAGGTATGCAGGAATGAGCAAGCTATGTGAGTCTATGTGGGTACTCCAAGAGCTCTGCAGACCATGAGCCGCCAGCTACAGAGCCTGGAGAAGGAAGGTGAGTCCTACCCTCATCTTTGTGAGGTCTACCTTACAGGGTTCTAGGCAGAGTGGGGAGAGGGGGAACCATTTCCAGGAGCATGGGACCTGTGCTCTAGTCCAGGGCCTGCCACTTGAGTGTTGAGTGACCACAGCATGGTTTATTCAGCCTCTCTCTGCCTCCATGAGATGAGGGCAGTCAGCACTGTCTTGAAGAGCTAGGACGGATTAAAAATAACCTGTCCCAGGGCTGGCAGAGTGGCTCAAGTGGTTGAACACCTGCTTAGCAAGAGTAAGACCCTGAGTTCAAACTCCAGTAAAATTAAAAAGAAAAAAACGACCTGTTCAAAGGACCATACCCAGAGCCCAAGTTAACACGCCTCCTGTTGTCTTGATTACAGTTACCTTCCTTAGCAACCTCCCCTCACACACGTACAATGTAGATGTCTGTCTGTCTGTCTGTGGTGTGGGGACGTGTTCTGACCTTATGACATTTCCAAAGTGTCAGAGGAATGTCACAGGCTGGGGACTTGGAGTTTATTGAATAAAATGACTGGCGCCAGGCTCCAAGGTGAGAGTTCTCACAGTGAAAAGGGGGTGCTACTGGCAGGGGAGGGTTTTTGGAAGGCCACCATTTATCCTGTTCCTGTCCCTTACAGCAGGTGGTGGAGTGAGCAGGCAGGCCCGGAGCAGCTCTCCACGCACAGGTGAGAGAGGTAATGGGCTCACCACCACAGCCCTGCAGTCCAGCCACCTATCACATGTTTTCCTTCCTCTTCCATCTTTCCCTCCCTTGCTAGCTCTCATTCATCACCTTGCGTGAGCCCTCCAGAGAGGCAGGCAGGAGGTTTAATTGGGGAAGGAGCAAAGTGTCACACAGAGAGGGCATGCTGGTTGGCCCTGGGTGTCAGGAGGACACTCACAGAGTAAGACACTTTGAGCTGAGCTTTGGGGAAGCAGGACATTCACCTGCCTGGGGACAGGACAGTATGGTGCAGGCAGCTGGTGGGCAGTGCAGCCAGGACTCACACCCAGGCCTTCTCACTCCAGAGGCCTCTGTCCAGCTTCCTGAGAGCTCAGTAGTAGCGGGTGCCTGGGCACCTTCCTTTGGGGAATGTGATCATAGCTCTTCTGTGGGCCTGTGAGGGAGCCAACCAGCTCCAGGAAAAGCTGGAAATTCCCAGGGAGCCACAGACAGGAAAGAACCCCCAGCCCCACTGCCATGTGGGAAGGGGCAGATGCCACACCCACAGGTAGGATATCGTACTGGTCATGTCACAAAACATCACAGACTAGGTATCATTTTCTTCTCTTTACATCCCAAGAGAGGCTGGGCCCCACTTGTGGTGAAGAAGCAGAATCTTGGGAAGCAATGGGCTTCTGGGGGGTTAGAAGAAATGCCTCCACTCTATTCTGATGGGGATGGACTCATCTTGCCCCATCCTACCCAGCCTTTTGTTGAGCAGCCTTCTGCTCAACCACTGCCAAGCCTTCTGCCAAGCCTTCTGCTGTCCTCACCCATTGCTCTCCACTGTTGGGGCCCTTGACCTCAGCAAGACAGTTCTGTGCAGGAGGAGAGAGCTAGGAACAAGAGGCACAGAGGGGCTGGATGGGAGGGAGAAGCCTGGATGTATCCTGGCATCCTAATGGCCCTCCTTCAACCCCAATCCTAGCTGTCCCTGTCACTATACCTCCTCCCTATACACCTGTTTTCCTTAATCAGTCCTCACCTTTCTCCAAAGCCACTGAGACACTGGGGCCAGTGAGTTTGGCAAGTTGTGGCCAAACTAGAAACTCTTCCCCACAAGGAGGGGTTGAGGACAGCATGCTTCTTTGGTGACAGTTGTCTGTAGAATGATCTGATTAATTCTCCAAGTTCCCGTCCTACTCCCCTGTAGTACACCAGTTGTTGTCTCTGCACCCCACCGGCCTTCCTTCATCCCAGCAGAGGGCCCTAGGAGAGTCACCTGTGGGCAAATGGCCCTTGAGGAGGACTGAAATAGATCATTTTGCCTAAAACCCAAATTTCCCTCTCCCACTTCCCTTTCTCATAGAAAAGAGGAAGTAGGTCAGTATTTTCACTTCAGGCATTCAAATGGTCAAGCAATGTAGTGAAGTTAAATATTGGGAAGCTACTAAATTAGTTGAAACCCAATTACGCCAGGATTTCCATTTTAAGTCTCCCCAGGAGCTGCCTCTGAGGGGAGCTGATATGTCTGTTCATACTCTACAAGGAACAAAAAGTCTGAGATGACAAAGTTCGTATCCCCAAATAATTACAATTTACTACTCCATTTGTTGAAAAGAAGGATCAGAGTTCCATCCTCCATTTGGCAAAAGCACTGAACGGTTAAGATCAGGGGTTGAAGGGTGAGCTGGACCCTCTGGCCCTTCCAAATTCTCAACCCGCTTCAGCCCTATGAATTCTCTGACAAAGCCAGGTGCATGAACACGAGGATGGCTGTTACTTTCAAGGGAGCACATGCTGAACTTGGAGGTCTTCCTAGCAAGACAGCTGCTTTTTGAGTTCCTAAATTATGCATTAAGTGGGTCCATTGAAAACTGACTATGAAAGAAAAAAAAGCAGCTTGTTTTCTGTGCAGAAGAAGTTTTGGGAAGACTGAAGGACAAATTCTGGCTTGTTTTCTACATTCCATGTGGGAAACCAGGTTTCAACAGAAATTATAGCTTGAAAAAAAATCTGTGAACTTCCAGGTTGTATCTACAGTGCTTGGAAGAATGTTTGGTACCATTCACTGCCAAAATAAAAGTCATTTTGTTAGCTGATTGAAGGCACATGCCAAGTGCAGAAGAGAATTACCTATGTTCTTATCCAGTCCTTTCAAGCAACACGAAGACAGTCTTTATGACTCTTCTCCTTGACCCTTGTCTTGATCTCTGCTTCTCCATCTCTCTTGAGAATTTGGCTCAGTCCTAGGGTTCTCCTGGGGTAAGGTCACATTGTTTCATCCCATCGCTCCTCCCACAAGGGGGCGGAAGCCATCCAGAGCATTTATAGAAGAAACACTCACAGGTTAATACTAAGCAGCTTCTTAACTGAGATAAGCTATTATGATGTTAAATAGACTTTATTGTTTAATAGATTTTTATGATGTTGTCATACCAAAGACCCTGACCCTACAAGTGGTGTAAGATAATCTTTCTTGTCATAATATACAATTACCTATTTTTGAATCTGTAAATAGTACTCAATATTTCAACGAACCTACACCGGTCATCTCATGAGTCCCTACAGTAACCTTTGCAATTAGAAACAGAACCCCAAAGACATGGAGATTGTTAATGCTGGAGTCAACCCCATGTCTGATGCCTCTTCTTGCATTCACAGTAAGAAAGAGAAGCAACCACAGGAAACATGCTCATAGATCCTCCCTACAACACAAGGTCTGTCCTCACAACATCCTCTTCCATGCTGCTAGCACGACACTTTGATACAGACTTCACCCTGCAAAGTATGGTCCAGCTTCACGTTCTCACTCCAAAACATGCCTCTTTGGCATAAGGATTGTCTTGAATTGAAAACAACTCCAGTGGTTCTCCCCTTATCTGCAGAAATAAATATTTCTAAGTTTTAAATTGCATGCTATTCTGAGTAGCATCACAAAAATCTCACATTGTCCCACTCCATTCCACCCAGCACTTGAATCATCCCTTTGTCCAATGCATCCAAGGTGTATATGCTACCTGCCCATTAGTCACTTAGTCATCTCAGCTGTCAGACCAGTTGTCACAGTATCACAGTGACATCCTTGTAGTAGTGTACCCAAAGTGCAAGACTAGTGATGCAAAGGAGGTACCAGGACAGAAACATAGAAGGATAGATGACCTCTGGTATGATGTGGCAATGCTGCAGGGCACATAGGGAAAAAAATGTATATATATATATATATATAGGGTTTGATACTACCCATGGTTTCATGCATCCTCTAGGATTCTTGAAACATTCCCTATAAGCAATGGGGGATTACTGTAGCTTTCTGTCATCCTCTTTCAGTCTAGAAACAAGACATACACTTCCATCTGTAAAGATGTCTCCCTGTCCTGTACCAGGTAGAAAACCACTCTGAAGATAATTGCTAGCACCTGAGAATACTCTTACCTGCGTGACAACCTTACTGAGCAAAAATTATTTATCATACATTTCCTAATCACCCACCACGGAAGGCTCAAACCCCCTTTCCTTTCTCAAGTCTCTTCTCCACATTTTTCACCCTTTCAGAAGTGTATGAACCCTCTAATCTAACCACCTTGAGTCATAGTTCTTTGTGAACTCCTGTGCACACATAAGTAATTAAATCTTTTATTATCTTGTTAATCTCCTTCATAAACATCAGGTTTTTTTCTTTTCTTTTTTTGGCAGTACTGGGGTTCGAACTCAGGTTGTTGTGCTTGCTAGGCAGGTGCTTTGCCTCTTGAGCCACACCTCCAGCCCTAAATATGAGTCTTTATAAATCATTTCTAACCATTCCAACCATAATTTATCACTCTCATTCTATATTCTGTCTTTTTTCTTTTGTCTACCATTCCATCCTTCTTTTAAAAATAAAATACATTCACTTAAGTTATTGTCCAAAGCTGACTCCCTAACTATCACCACACAACCTGCTGACAAGACAAAACTGATTTATTGCTCACAGCAGGCAAAGCTTGGTAGTATCTCAGAGAGAGGAAGGTAAGGTCAAAATTTACAGAGAACTGGAAATTATATTCAAGACAGATAGATGTGTTAGTCAGTTTTGTGTTACTGTAATGAACACCTGAGATAAGCAGCTTATAAAAAGAATGACTGCTTTTGGCTCACAGTTTTGGAGGTCCTAGTCCTCAATTGGCCCTGTTGCTTTTAGGCCTGTAGCGAGGAACACATCAGAGCAGGAAGTACTTGGCAAAGGAAAATGACTCACGGCAAGTCCAGGAAGGGAAAGAAAAAGCAAGAGCTGAGGCTCCACAATCCTCTTTAAGGGCATGCCCACAATGACCTAAAGGCCTCCCCCTATCTCC